TTGTATATCGACAAAATAAAAATTTAAAGGAAAAAAAAAAAAAAAAAAGAAAGTAGGGCCCAGGGAAAGATAATAACAGCTCACACTTACTAGGTGCTTACTAGGTGTTCTAAGCCAGTGGTTCTCAAAGAGTAGTTCCCAGACCAGCAACATCAGCATCACCTGGGAGCTTGTGAGACATGCAAATTATTGGACCCCAGCCCAGACTTACTGAATCAAAGACTCTGGGGAGGAGTCCAGCAATCAGTGTTTTAACAACTCCCCGGGTGATTTTGATGCATGGCTCAAGTTTGAGAACCACTGTTGTAGGTCCTTTAAGGACCTTCCAAAACCCCTATGAGGTAGGTGCATTTATTATCACCATTTTACAGATGAGGAATTCAGGCACAAAGAGATTAAATAATTTACATAAGATGACATAGCTAGTAGGAGGTGAAGCCAGCATTTGAACCCAGGGAGTCTGGCTCTAGAATCCATATTCTTAATCGCTGATTCATAAGTCTTTCCACCTACAAGAACTCAGTCAGTGGAATGCAGTAATAAAGACTTAATCATGGTAGCATATCTCGCAACTTACAAAATGCTTTCATCCCCGCATATTCTTAATCGCTGATTCATAAGTCTTTCCACCTACAAGAACTCAGTCAGTGGAATGCAATAATAAAGACTTAATCATGGTAGCATATCTCGCAACTTACAAAATGCTTTCATCCCCGTTACTTTATTTAGGTACTTTGAGGTTGGCATTTTGTGGGAATCCTCAGCTAAAAGATGTGCTGTCACCCAAGATTGGGTCCTTTTCCCAAGGATTTCTTGCAGTGAGGGGATAGAGCAGGGGCTTTGGCATGCTTGTCCATGGGGTTTGCAATTTGTTTCATTGTCTTCACGTCAAACCCCAGACTTTTTCATCTCAGTCTGAGAGTGTAGTTCAGCTACTGATGTTGCTAGATTCAGAACTGTGACTTGACTCTAAGGGTCAGAAACTCAATTTATGTGTTTAGCCCCTTGCAGAGTTCAGAATTCTGCACCAATTTCATCTTTCTGGGTTTAAGAAAGAAGTTCATTTGAGAGCATTATACTCAGACCTCAGCTGCTGTTCTTGTGGGTTCTCAACTCTGTTCTTTATAAATTACCCAGTCTCAGTTATTCTGTTATAGCAACACAAAAAGGAACTAATACACCTCCCCTGATCACTCTATTTAGAATACTTTATCCTGATTCATTCTTCTTCATTGCACTTATCACTACCTAACATATGTGTAATTAATTTGAATACTGTATCTCTACAAAAGAAAGCAAACTCTGTAAATAAAAATTTTTCATTTGTTGCTCCTAAAAAAAAGCAAATAAAAAATAAAATGTGCAAAGGCTGGGCCCCAGACCACTGGAATCCGAATCTCCAAGGGTGTGGTCTGGGTCACAGTATTATCTAAAATCTCCAAAAGCAATTCTCACATATAACCAGGGTTGAGAATCACTGGTGTGAAACAAGAAATATGTTTGCAAT